TGAAACAGACATTCTAAACAATTACTAAATAGACATTTATCCTACCATTCTTTTCAAAACATTGGACACACCAAATTTATACCTACAGATAATGGACTGCACTCAGTCACAATAAAGTATGACTATCATTGTCTGATAGAGTACCCCTCATCACATGTGACTATCTGTATTTAAGTTGTATGCTATTGAAATACAAGTTCTCACTCAGAAGAATCATATGTCAAGCACTTTCTGGCCACAGTAGGGACAGTGACCATCACACGGAGAGGCACAGCCAGAGAACATCTCCATCCTTTCAGAAGTCTATAGAGCAGCACTTCCCAGGCTTTTCTCTTTAAATCCTCTCCTTGTGGTTTCCTCTAACAGCCATTCTGCTGCTGCTGTGCACAAACTCTTCTTTCTTTTCAGTTACTAGTAACTGTAGGACTACTTGGCTCCTTCCTCACAAGGAGACCTTTGCCACATCTGAAGATGCTGTACTTGTCTCGATGGCAGAAGCATGGGTCTATCACGGTGGTACATTCAAGAAGGCTCGACATCTGAAAGCTCACAGGAAACCACCCCAACAAAGGGTCATGTGTCAACAAGGTGGAGCTTGAGAAACTCTGACTTTAATATACATGTTTGTCTGTATGTCTGTATGTATTTATATACTTAGAGTTTAGAGTTAGGGTTTAGGGCTAAGTTTAAGGTTAGAAGTTATTATTTTTTTATTTATTATTTTTATTTTATGTGTGTGTATGTATTGCCTGCATGTACGTAAGTGCACCCATATCATGCAATCCCCAAGGGGGTCAGAAGAGGGCATTGGATCCCCTGGGACTGGAGTTACAGTTGTTAGCTGTCATGTGGGTGCTGGGATTCAAACCTGGGTCTTCTGCAAGAACAAGCAGTGTTCTTAAACCTGAGGCATCTCTCCAGCCCCAAGGTTAAAGTTTTTAATACATCATATGTATGTATATATACAGAGAGATGATAGATAGATAGATAGATAGATAGATAGATAGATAGATAGATAGATGATAGATAGATGATAGATGATAATTATATATACGCTCTAAAAGGATAATGAGGAATAATTAGTGCATGATAAAGTGTGTTCTGGTTGGTTCTGTTGGGATAAACACCATGATTAAAAGCCACTTAGGAGAAGAAGGGTTTACTTGTCTTACAGGTTACAGTCTACCTTTGCAGGAAGCCATGGCAGGAAATCAAAGCAGAAGCTCGGAGGCAGGAACTGGAGCAGAGACCACAGAAGATTGCTGCTTACTGGCTTGCTTCCACACTCATATCCAGCCACCTTTCTACCTTTTTCAGTGTATATTTTATTGAATTTTTTGTACTTAATACAATGCATATTCCTCATGTTTGGAGCCCCTCCCCTAACTGCATACTCTCATAGCCCACCCACAGGCTTTCATACATTCTTTTGTAAATGTTAGGGCTTATTGAGTCAAATTTGGGTCCCCATATCTTTCCATGTGAGTTCATACACTGGAGCCTGTTCAGCCTGTCTAATATTATGCCCATCCTCACCCAGCAGTGAGCGGCTGCCAAGACTATACATCCCAGGCCCACCTGCCTTGTGGATGGCACTGCTAAGTGGGCTGGGACCTCCACATCAATTAGTAATCAATAAAATGCTCCACAGACATACCCACAGGCCCATCAGATAGAGAAAATTCCTTAATTGAGGTTCCCTCTTTCCACACACATGAAGTTGAGGACTGAAACTAACCATGACGCAGAGTACACTATAATTATAAAACTAGTCTAACAAAACATGAGTATGCATAGGTATAAGTCTGACTGTCTGTCTGTCTGTCTGTCTCTCTCTCTCTCTATCTCTCTATCTCTCTCTCTCTTCCTCCTGCCCCCTTCCCCCTCTGTATGTATGTGTGTGTTCATGTGTGTACAGGGGAAACTAAGGAACATAAGGAATTACAGAGTGTGGTCTTAGCATGGGTTACTTAGGAGAACAATATTTTCAGGGAAAAGAAGATATGTAAAAATCACTTCACAAATCATTATGTTGGAAATGTACACCTTACTCATTTAAATAATGACACATTTTAAAACATTCTAAATGGATCACCTTAAATTAAAATTTAAAAAGTGAAGACTAATGATTTAATAGGATATTTGCATTCTAGAAGAGAAATGGATAAGGAATGGGAAAAATAATAATATAGTTTCACACAGTACTAAGTTCCTGAGGATGGTTAGTAAAGAGCTACGTAGAGGGAGGTAGTCCTTTAAAGACTTCATATTATAGGTGTCAGACTTGGAGAAGAAAATTCAGGATTCATGTGGGTTGAGATGCTATTAAAAGCAGAATTATTAGATGCTCTCCCAGGTCCTGAGCATGAGGATTGAGTTAAGGAATACACTGCAACAGCTTTAGAGCAGGGCCTAGAAAGGGAGAGCACAGATGTCTGAGAAAGCCAATGAGCAAACCCGGGGGTACTTTCCTTAATTGTGAGCTGAGGAGGGAGAAAGTCAGGATGCTCAGTGAATTAGCAATACAAAGTTCACTAGAGATTTTGTTCAGGAGGTGATTGGGTCCCGATTGCCCCCCACCTTCATGAATGATAGCGAGTGCTCTTATGAAAGAGCTTGGCTGAGGGTGTCTTCCCTCTTCCCCTTTCCATCTCTTCCACCCTGTGAGGACCCAGCAGTACTCCTCTTGGACGATGCACTCACAAGTGTTATTCTGACAGGGGGCCTGGTCTCTCAAGAGGCTGTGACCTCCCTAACTCTTGGCTTGTCAGCTACAAAAACTAAGAGGAAGAAATATCTGTCCTTTCGAAATTACTCCAAATTTGTTTCAAAATTTGTTTGAGTCACACAGATTGGGACATGATTAGTGCTGGCATTTTACATACACTCCTTATTCTGTCCTGTTAGGGTGCTGATTCTAAATGATCTATCAGGATGAGGAAACCACTGAAAGACTAGAAAGAGAAATGATTTCAAGGGAAAACTCAAAGGAAAGTATAAGGAAAAGACTTCTAAAGTGTGAGAGAAAGATTAGAACAGGCTGGAGATTAGCTGAGCTCGACCTTGCCTATGCAGCATACATCAACACAGGGCAAAGTATTTTCCCGATGAATAATACTGTAAGCATTTCCACTGCATTTCATTGAGTTCATATGCATTTTCATCACATCAGTCATGCCCTAGTCAAAGATCTACAACTGGCAATTCCAATTGAGAAAGTGATCCTCCTGAAACGTACATTCTCCAAAATTATATACTAGTAGGAAACTCACATCCTTCTATAAGCAGACAAAATGTATTAACAGATAATTGAGAAGAGAAACTCTACACACACACACACACACACACACACACACACACGCATGCACATACTATTCTGTGATACTTTTGCCACTAATGCATGAGGAATGTCTATTTGTACTTTTTTTTCTTTTTTTTGGTCTTTTTGAGACAGGGTCTCCCTGTAGCCCCAGCTGGCCTTGAACTCAGCCTGCCTCTGCCTCCGAGTGCTGGGATTAAAGGCATGCACCACCACGCTCTTTTAAAACAAAAGAAATATTTTATATCAAAGGGAGAATTTTCTTATAATGTTCCTAAATAAAAATTCTTTCTCCTGAAATAGCTGTTCTATTGTAGAGCAGGTAAAGGACAATCTTGAGGTCACAGATGAGGCATGCTTCCTTTTCTTATAAATCATGGCATGGCATCAACACATCTTAGACTCAATTAAAATAAGGAAACAAGAAGTTCTCCATGTTGGGACTTTATATGTTTAACACTAGAGATACAGTAAGCCTTTCAAATATAAATAGATTGCAAAGTCTTTTAGATATATAGCTATCTTTTTCAACCAGGTTTCAATAACAAGTTTCAGAAGCAGCAAGGAAAGATTGTTCCCCTGTCTACGGAGGCAGGCATAAAACAAACCAACCAACAGGGTCATGTAAACTTGCTCATTATAAAAATAATAAAATATTTTGTATAAAGTTGAACGGTTTCCTTGTATTTATAAATCTTAATTTTTCATATGCTATTACTGAAATAAAGCATATTTCCCTGTATCAAGTTTGATATTTAGCAAAACAAAAATCTACATATATAATTGGCAAAGATCTGTCAGCATCCCAGGCCTAAAGTGCTGACCACCATGTGACTTTATCTATGGTGTTCAGCTTTCTTCCCAGAAGAAACAGTAGGAAGATTCAGAAATATTTTAAAGAATCTATGGGCTGGAGTGTTGGCTCAGCAGTTAAGAGCACTGACTGCTCTTGTAGGGGATCCTGGTTTGAGTCCCACTACCCTCATGATGGCTCAGAACTGTCTGTAGTCTGTAACTCCAGTTCGAGGGGATCTGACACCCTCTTCAGACCTGGTAAGGTATTGCATGACGTGGGTGAGATTATATACATGCAGGCATAACACTCATACACATAAAATAAAATGAAATAAGATTCTGTAATAATAAAGGGCAATCTTTGCTTCCTCTCCTTGAGCAGGAAAGAAGTTCAAAATCATAGCAAAATAACTTCTTTCTGCAACATTACTTTGATAAAAAATCATCACTTAACAGCTAGGTTTTAGTTGGAACTTGATTGTTAGGCAAAACAAAAACACCCAAATCTTTTAATCATCTTTCAACTATTCATTCAGTTAAAAAATGATGACATAAGAAACCAAAGCCAGAAGCCCATCACAGAAACCCAAATGCACTCCTATGACACTTTTTTATATTCAGTGAACAAAATATGGATTCACTTAAATTTCATAACTGATATCTTTTTATAAATCAGTCTAGCACTTTAGTTTTTTTAAAAAGCATTTAAATCTAAAAATAATAAAGTAGATGACATAACCTGAATGCTCAGAAAGAAGTCTCCATAGAAACAGATTTTTATTTTATTGGACACAGAGTGAGGCGATGGCTATGGTTTTATTAGATTCTGACTCTCTGCTGGGTCTCATTACTTTGTTTATTCATTTGTTCAGTTTGAAAGGCTTACCACCATCTTGTTGGCCATGAAGAGTCTGGGGACTTTGCATTCTTTCTTCAAGATTGGAGCTAAGATCAGAGTTCACAGCTGACATCCGTGTTGAGTCACTCATATCAAATTCATCACTTTCTATAGAACTTTCATCCTGAAATGGTTTTAAAATATTATTAAGCATTGTAAAATATAACAATTTTCAAATAATGACTACGTTGTCTATATGGGCAGTTAGAGGTTAGCCAGTAGGTAACTTTTATAGAACTCCATAAAATACGTTACACATTAATAGATGTTTTAAAAAAACAAATGAAATAGTTTCTCCCTTGAAGGACTTTAAGAATTATAGATACTCAGGGCTGGAGAGATGGTTCAGGGGTTAAGTGCACTGGATGCTCTTGCAGAAGACCCAGGTTCCATTCCCAGCCCCCACATGGCAGCTAACAACCTTCTGCAACTTCAGCTCCAGGGGATTCAATGCCCTCTTCTGACCTCTGGGGATACCGTACAACACAGGTACAGTTAAATACATGTAGGCAATATACTCAAACACATAAAAACAAAACATTTTTAAAAAGAATTATGGATACTAAAAAACACACTAAAGCACATTCACTTCTTAAAGATAAAATAATGTGTTTAAAAAGGGGGGATAATAAAGAATAAGAAAAATGCATTTCTTAGTAAATCCCTCTTAAAAGAGGTAATTATAAAACATGATGGGAAGGCAATATAAGTTTGACTACAAAGTGACCTGTTAGAATAGTATAAGCATAAATCTTCTAATGTTGTAAGAAAGTTTTCATAATTTTTTTCCATTAACAGGATGAATTCTAATAACACACCAAGATGCATTTTAGATTAAAGTCTGTTTTGATACAGATCAAGGGATTCTTAATATAGTTTACATATAAAGATGATAGAAAGACATATTAGGTAATAGATAAAATATAGAGAAAGATGGGAGATAGATAATTGACAGACAATGGATAAATGATATATATATATAGATAGATGATAAATGATGATAGATGATAGATAGATGATAGATAGATAGATAGATAGATAGATAGATAGATAGATAGATAAAAGATGGATAGATGATAGAGTGAGCACTGGAATTACAAAAGAATGTCAAGGCTAGAGATGGCTTAGTGATTAAGAACATGGGTTGCTCTTGCAGAGGACCCAGGTTCAATTGCCAGCACCCACATGGCAGCTAATAACTGTCTGTAACTCCAATTCTAGGGGATCCAACACCTCTTCTGACCTCTGCAAGCACTGCATGACATGGGTGCACTTACACATATGTAGGCAATACATTCATACAAAAATTAAAACTAATAATAAATTTTATAAAGGATGTCTAGATAAATTTTTACAAAATCCCTTGACTTAAAGCCAGTTGACAAAATGTCTAAATAAACCAAAGACCAGTTTACCATATGACCAATTCATCAAAAATGTCAAATACGAAAAATTAATACACTGAAACTGAGATCCTTGCTACAGTCATTTCACTGAAGCAAACTCCTTTTGTAGCTAGTCATTTGGCAGAATGCCTGTCTCTCAGCACATTGTGTTTCTCTAATTCTAAATCTGAAGAAAACCTGAAACTATCAGAAAAAATAAAATAAACACAATGTGGATGTGACCTATATGCATAGATGTATGTAGTAGCCATCCACTATACACATGTACACAAAGGCAGTATTTTAGAGAACATTCTCAGGACATAAATTTCCTGATTTAAACCCATAATCTGATATTCATTAGCTGTGCTACTTTAAGAAAGTTTGCTAACCTCTCTGTGCCCCTCAATTGTGGGGCAAGTACTTTATCCACTGAGATATCTTTCCAGTCCTTAAAAATGGTCTATATGAGCATTTCTTTTAAAATTGTCAGCATTTTCTTAATTTTGTTTCAGAAGGATCATATATGTTGGCGAGAGCACAACTTGTGTGAGTTGCTTCTCTCCTTTCACCATGTGGGTCCTGGGGTTTGAACTTAAGTTATCAGGCTTGATGGTAGGTGTCTTTACACACTAAGCCACTTTTTCGGACAAGGATTTCTTACATATACCAAAAAATACGTAATTATATTTAATCTATTAAAATTGTATGTATGTTTGTATGTATGTATGTGTAAAATGTGCTTGTGTGTGTCTATGTGTTTAAAGAAGAGCTAGATATGAAAATTCCAGACACTTGTCTTGTTCTAGGAAATAAATGTACAAACTGCAAAGCACACTGTGGGTAATCAGTAGACAGCTATCACCATTGAATAACCCTTGTCAGCATGCATTTTAAGAACTTTAAGCAAAATATTAAAATTCTATACTGCTAAATGTAATATCATGCATCTTTGCTCTTTAAAATACCAATTTCAAAGTATTCATGATAGTAGATGAATTAATGATTGAGGTCATTTTAAATAACTCTCTCTAATATTACCTACTAAGTTAGATTTGTTCTTCACAGTTCTCTTCATCCAAATATAAGATTTTACACATTTGTAAAGTTCGTATTCAACTAAATTCTTGCATTCATTCTGTAAATTTTCTTCCAGAGATTTTCCAAATATTTACTAATTAAATTATTTTTTAAATATGAGATAGCAAAGATTTATGAAAGATCATTAATTTATTAACAAGCAAATAATACAATCATACTCAGAAAAAAAAAAACTATGGAAGATTTCTAAGGGTTTCATTTCTAAGGGAAGACTTCTCTGGAGAGAAAACTTGACTCATGACATTATATGGTTATTTCCTTCATGATCATTCTAGAGAATTCATGTGAATCACCTTCTGTATGAGCCTCTACATTGTTTTGTAGGACAACCTGAAATAATTCTCCACATTGTATAAGGTGAGTTCATTCCTCATGTGACAAAAATACCATCGAGTCTCAGTCTTACCTAAAAGTTACTGACAAATCTTCACATTACTGCACAGGCCTTTCTCTACTCATGAATTTACAATGTCTTCAGCGTTGTGTGTAAGCAACCCAGTCATTTCAAGTTTTCCATAAAAGTGCTTGAAAAACATTCTTACCAATCTAATTTCCTTCTTTAACTTTTGGTCATATAAAATTAAAACCCATATTATTAAAATGTATGTAAAATATACAACCTCAATCCTGGGTGGGCATGAGCATGCGTCTTACTAAAATTCAGGTCCCTAGATCCCACATATCAAATATAGAACTAATAGGGATAGTCCAGAACCATCCTGTGGCAGTCCACTGCTCTCTAGCATTTTACATTCAGTAAGGGACTGTTAGGCATATTTGGCTACCGGACATTTGAAATGTGGCCACTGTATTTTGTTTTAGTTCATTTTAGCCATTTTTAAATTAAGTTTAAATAGTCACATGTAACTGACTGTTATCAGGGCTGTACAAATTTGACAATTCTTCATTGCTAAATCTTGAAAAATATATGGAGTAAGAGATTATCAGTATGATACAGTGAATGTCCTAACACTTAAATGGTTTCCTGCATCATATTTCTATAGGTAACTTTGTAATCAAGGCAAAGAAATGTATTTTAAAAGTTTTAATAATGGTGTTTCTCTCTCAGAAATTTGGTTCTGATTTAAACTCTTACCAACAATTTATGAGATCACTTACATTGCATACTGTCCTTTACAAAGTATTTCTTAACAGGATTAACCTCAAAGAGGTTAGTTTATTAGATTTTGTTTTGGAGCCAGGCTGAGGGACTTTTGTCATTGTTATTGTATCTATGATTACTGACTACTATAATGGCTATCCTCAAAGATGACTGCCCTCAAAGATGGCCTCTGTCCCTCCACATGGACATGATTTCTTCACATCAAAAAGTGGCCTCAGGACTCCTATATTAAACTCCACCCACCCAGAGCTCAGGGACCATTGTGGAAGAGGAGGCAGGAAGATTGTAAGAACCAGGGAAGAGGTGCATGACCATGTGGAAATAGCGTCCTACACTCCTGGAACCTTGCTCATATGAATCTACAGTGATCGTGTCAGCATGCATAGAACCCATGCAAACTCAAGCAGACAAAAACCCAGCACATAACTGTGGAAATGGGGAGCAGGTCCCAATCTTAGTCAAAGAACTATTGACAAATGATTACTGCTAGTTAGGAAGAGCTAATCTTAAATGTAGGGACTCTAGATAGACTGTCTAGATCCCAGTAGATAAACTTGCACTGAGGGACATCTGGGGCTAATGACTCAAAGGCCTTAACACAAATGACAGAATGTATGAATTGGGGGGGGCACGTTATGGGGAATGGGTATAAAGATGAAATAAACAAAAATTCAATAAAGTTTTACCCAAAAAAGTGCCATCAATTGCTGCTCCCTTTGAAAATTCGCTGGTGGTGTTATTTGCTGTGACCAACAGAACAAAGCAGATGTTGTCCAGTTCCTGATGAGAATGGAGGTAATGGACATCCTCACTGCTAGAGGTCGGCTGCCACATAAACCTGACTCCCCTGAGAGCAGCACGCTCTGACTGTGCCTAAGCCGAACAGATATATAGATCATGGTCATGAAAGATAGAGCTAGTGTTCTTCAGGGGTGTTATCCTTGGTAGGTTGCTCACACCCCAGCGAATAGCCCTACACCCACGCACATACAGGAAGCACTCATGGGACTCAGTGGGTTTAAAAAATGGGCATGAAGTGGGGAGCGAGGTGTGGGGAGCATTAGGAACAGTTCAGGGAAAGTAGGGATGAAAATGGTCAAAATCCATGAATGAAATTCTTTCTTTCTTTTATTTCTTATGTGTATGAGTGCATTGCCTGCATGTATGTAAGTGCACCTATGTCGTACAATGCCAATGGAGGTCAGAACAGGGCATCTGATGCCCTGGGACTGGAATTATGGATGATTGTTACCTGCCGTATGGGTGCTGGGAACTTTGGCCCTCTGCAAAAGTAGCCAGTGCTCTTAACCACTAAGTCATCTCTCCAGCCCCCTTAAAAGATAAATAAAAATATTTTTAAAATATTAGAAACAAGGAGCATTGTGGAATTAGCTAATGATTTATCCAGCATTCTTAATTTTATTTTACTGTGTTTTATATTTTTATTAAGCTACATATTTAAATAAATCTCTCTTATACCAGCCAGCTTAGTACCGCTGCCAGGTAAGTGCAACTGAGTGGTCCTCCCTTACACTATGAGTAGCAGAAGCAACTCCCAGAGCACTCCAGTTTGAATTTTTCACCCTTGGAATAATGAGAAATGAGAAATTGTGCTAATCCACTAAACTTTGTGGATGGTGCACAGCAATGAGTGACTGAAAGTCCATCTGCCTTTTCCCGTTTAGGCTCTACCAAATCAATCTATTTCCATTAATTGTTTTTTTAAATGAATAGTAATAACAAAATGTATGTGCTGTGAGTGAGGCAGATGTTGGACTCTGAAGTCAGGCAGGTTCAAGCTTCTCATTTGATCTCTACTAGTTATATCATTAGAGTAAGTGCTGTCATTGCAAAGCCTTGTTTTCTCATCTGCAAAGTGGTGGAACGTGGTGACGATTGTAAATAATGAATTAGATGTTACAGATCCAGATCAAGCCCTGGAATGCATTTTTTCACTTTCATAAGGCTTCTCCTTCAAATGTGCTGCTCCATTTGTAAAGTCTTTAACAAAATAATAGTCAAAAACACCACTGTCTGCATGGTAATTTTGTCTTCTCTGAAGCTCAGTCCTTTATCTCTGAGCTCCAGTAAACACCTCTCATCCCACTTCAGTAGTACTCAGGCTGAATCCATGGGGATTTCAGTCCCCCTGAACTTGACTTCAGGGGGATCTACTCTTTTTATGGATCTTGCCTTCCACCTTCTAGAGCCAGATAGCTGCTGTATCCTGTCCTGGATGTGTATCATCAACAACTACAGATATCATAATCCTTAAAACATTAATTTTGTTGTCTAAAAATTTCATATATGTATGTAATATATTCAGATTACTCTCTCCCCACACCCACCCTCTCTTTTCTCCTTCATGTGCCTATCAACACCTCCCCTTCATACCTACCAGTTCCTTTTCCATGTTCATGACTTTTTGTATTGTTTTGTGGCCTATTAATTTAACAAGGGTCATCTGTGTAGCAATCGGATTGGAAGACTCCATTAAGCATGATAATTTATACATCATCTCAAATTTTCTGTTGTCACTCCGTTTAGTATTTAAGGGAGTTTCTGCCTTCCTGAAGTTTATGACTCATTGACCCATTGATCCTAATACGTTTTCAGTGACTACCTTTGACTTCCAAACTATTGACCTCACTTACCTTAACACAGCTAAAATCCCCTGGTTTGATACCTCATACCCCCGGCTACTACCTCCTCTTTCACAAGACCTTGGATAATTGATTCCAGCTCTCCCATTTCTCTATCCATTCTCCCACATAAATGAATGTGATCAGGAGTCGCCACTTAAATTATTTCACTTGATGGATATGACCCTGAATGGCAAAGGAGGGCCGTTTCCCTCAGCCTGGACCATCTGTATGTCAACGTCTCACGCTCTTTTCTCAAACTTCTGAAACCTTCTCCAACACCCTCACCCTTGCTGCTTTCTTCACTAAAGAACTAGGAACAAGCAGAAGAATGCTTCTAGAAGCTTTGTCACCATTCACCTCTCCCTGTCTGATCCCTCCCGTCTGTGGTCCATTCTAAAGCCAGCTCTCCCAGTTTGGCAGCAGAAACTGTCTCCACTGTATGGAAGACATCACTTCATCAATTCTCCTTCTCTACTTGCACCATGGCTTCCTTCTACAAGATAATCCCTTTATCTCTGAACTCCCCTACTCTTGAGTTTTTCTTTGTTTACTCTGCATACCATATGGACTCTGGCTAGTCTTACAGCTACCAAATATTTACGTGCCCCATGACTTTTCTCTGTATACTTTTTACATGTACACAACTCATTTCTTTCAGTTTTACTCAAGTCATACCTTTTCAATGAAATCACCTATTCATTCATTCATTCATTCATTCATTTACTTTTGGGGTACATGTAATCACACTCAGAACGTCACATGTGCCACCTAGGGCATTGCGCTGAGCATCATTCTAAATACATTCCCTAGAATTCTCTATTTCTTTTACTAATAGAATTTAGCATATTTTATTTGCCTGTTTTCATTATTTGTTTTCTTTATCATGTGTTCCTCCCACTAGAAGAGACCTTTCAGAGACAGAATTTTTGTCAATTTAGTCACTGTTTATTTCTAAGGGTATCTGGCACATGGAAGGAATTCAGTAAATTGGTGAATTTATTGAACTAAAGTTTATATAAATATAACACAATCAAGGTGTACTTCACTTAAATGTCAGTTCATTTGCTACGTCCTACTCAACTTCCATATTCTTTTTTGTTGTTAAAATATTTTATTTATTATTTTTATTTCATATTTTCGTGTGTATTGCCTGCACGTAGGTAAGTGCACCCCTGTCGTGCAATGCCCACAGAGGACAGAAGAGGCTGTCAGATCCCCTGGAACCGGAGTTATGGACAGTTGTTAGTTGCCATGTGGGTGCTTGAATTGGAACCCAGGTCTTCTGCAAGAACAATCAGTGTTCTTAACTGCTGAGCCATCTCTCCAGTACCAATTTCCATATTCTTTAATAATCACATTTCTCTAAAAATTTTAAATACTGTAACAAGTGATTTATTTGAAAAATATGTGTCCTATTTAATAATTTCAAAATATGAGGATAAGAGTGATTTTCCTAATGTAGTTACAATTTTTAAAACTAATTTTATATTTCATTAAAATATTGCAATGCTTTAGAATGGCTCAGAATCTGTGGGCTGTTGGAACAAAGCTTATCATACTTTTGAGCCTTGAGATAAATATATTAACTGCAAAATCAGCTTCCTCCAAATAATTTGACCATGTTAACTAGCTTATAAGACATTAAAATTTTTTCAACTATGTAATAACTCATGGGCAGAGCTTTTTTCATTCTTAGGAACAGACACATATTTCCTTAATTGGCTTTGATTTCTATAACCTAATTACTTTTTTACTATTTATTCAATCATTTACAGTTAGCCATCTGGCAATATCTAACCGGGTACTTGATACTGTCACTGTCCTAATACGGATATTCTTAGAGAATAAACCCTGAGTAAAATCCATTGAGGTCAAACGATTTGAATTTCAAGACTAAAACTTCATAAAATACAGAGAAAAAAAGACAAAATAATTTTAAAAGACTTTAATGACATTTTACAAGTAATCCAATATTAAAAAGTAAATATTTAACCACATTTTCAGTTATAGGGAAATTATAAGGAGAGAATTTTTTAGATTGAAGATACATTTCCAATATGGATAGTCTGAATTTTTCTACTAGTTAATGGCTCTAACTAGTTAATCAGGATTTATTAAATTCCAAGCCTCTCTTGACTGCCTTTTCATCAATTGGTGAATATAAGTAGCATACACACACACACACACACACACACACACACACACACACACACATGCACACACACACACAAACACACACATCCTTTTTAATTGCTTTTTAACATTTTTATTTGTATGAGTGAATTGCTGCAAGTATGTAAGTGTACCCGTGCTTACGATGCCTGTGGTAGCTGCCATGTGGGTGCTGGGAATCAAACCCTGGTCCTCTGCAGCCAGTCCTCCTAACCTCCAAGCCATCTCTCCAGATGTATATTAAGAGTCTCAAAATGAAGACCAGAATCCTAATGAATACTCAATAAACACAAATTTGGTGTTTGATATACAAGAGTACATTGATAGATTCTCACTATACAAATCAATAGAGTGATTTGAAACATGAAAAGATCTATAATTGAGAAGAACCACAAAAACTTTCTCTGGAAAATGCAGATATATAAAGCAAAAATATATCAAAGAACCACTAGGAGCAAAAGAATGACTTTTAAAATAAAAATTGTAAATGTGGTTCATGAAGAAACAGGTATAGTTGAAATCCTGTTGATTTTTCTGTCCCACAGACGAAATAGCTTCAGAAGTTACCTGGCATAACTGGAATTTCCTTCACTTTACCAAGACTACCTGAGTGGGGAACTCGTGAGGAGAAAGGCTCATTCATAGGGATGAGCAAATGCCTGCTAATAACTAACATACGCTGGTTCAGACAGTGGCTCTACATGCAGAACATGGAGTTTCTGCTCTCTTTCCAAATCTGCAAGGTTATGGTAATGTCTCTTTCGTTAGTAATATAAATTACTTCCTTCAAAATGGCACCAAGCTTAACCCTATAGTCATGGTCTGGAACTCTGTTCCCAGTAGTCAGTGATGCAAGCATAGATGTTTCCATTCACCTCATCTTGTTGTGAGTTTAGCAACTGCAACTTCATATGCTTCATATAGGCCATGGTGATTGGCATGTTGTAGTCGATCATGCTGGTCACCAAGGTAGGAGGCTTTCCATTATCTGCAACAAAACATTTTAAATGTGTGATAAACTTAATACTCTCTTCTGCCTGCAACTTCAGGGAATCCAATTTGTCTCAATTACAACCTTCCATGCACTGATGATTGAAAACATGGAAGCCATGGAGACAAATTTCATAAAAGCTAGCTGGCAAGTTCCACAAATTATATTGGTCCAAATTAACAATATGGACACATTTACTATTTATTTTTTTGTTTAATTATTTTTTTTTATGTGCATGAGTGTAGTGCCTTGTATATGTGTAAGAGCACCTGTGCTGTGCAATGCCAGCAGAGGACAGAGAGGGAGTCTGATTCCCTGGAACTGGAGTTACAGTTTTTTTTGCAATGCCAGCAGAGGACAGAGAGGGAGTCTGATTCCCTGGAACTGGAGTTACAGTTTTTTTTGCCACCCTGTGAGTGCTGGGAATCAAACCTGGGTCCTTTGCAAGAGCAGCCAGTGTTCTTAACCACTGAGTCATCTCCCCAGTTCCTACTTTACATTACTTTTTAGAGCTAAGCTGTTTATCTTCCAACACAAGGAAATAAGCTGGATTAAATGTACCTCTAATACTAATTTAGTCATTGAGATAAATTAGTATTTAGGAAAATTTCTAAATAATTTTAATGAATGGTAAAGCCAAATTACATTTATATGAAAATTGTCATTGAAAGCATTCCATGTTATCAATGATTTCTGGATATGTTTCCTGTACACAAGAAAGGATACTTATAATCATCTATTGTTTTGCCCAATATATCTAAAATACCAGAAAATCATACAATAATAAAAAACATTATAATTGAAAAACAGGGTTTTTTTGCCACAGTTGAAATGATCTTCTAAGAACAGACGCTGAATTAATTTGTAAGTGGATATTCAAAATTCGCCGCTTCCTACTAAAATATAAATGAGATGATCTGACTTGTTAAACTGTTTCAGTATATCACATTTTTATAAAAATGTAAGATACAAATTGCCGTTATGAATAAAATGACTTTAAATCTCACTATTTGACACTAGGGCTACCTTTATGATCTGTTCCATCTGGGTTTAAATGCATTCTTTTCTGGCACTCTGAACAGCTCATTAGAAACCGTGTCACTGCTTCTCTTGGTAGGAAGGCATAGGTCTCTGAAATCTGAAATGATTCACAAAATCAGGTGTTATTACCAAAGCTGATGGAGCACAAGTCAACAGAAATAACCAGTCTTTCCGAATAGACACATTATCCCATAACAGTAGGAAGCACAGTGAAGGCATGCACGGCAAACCATGCATCATTGCAAGAAATATCTATCCAGCTTGGTCAGATGATGCTTAGTAACAGCCAGCAATGCTGTGTGAGGATAAAGCATTGGGCGCAGTGGGACATTTGTCTGCTTTTTATTTCTGCATTTCTTTTAGGAAAAATAATCACAATGTACAGGTATTTTCATCATTATTAAATATCATCAATATTGCGTTTCAAACTTACTGCTAGCAAGATTGATTTTTTTTTACCTAATTATATCTATATATTTTAAAAATTAGCCCCAAGGAGAGGCAATAAACTTTGAATTCTGCATAATGATCAATTCTCCATTATTGCTTTAACACATTTTAAGAGAATAAAAGAAAAATGTGCACATGTATTACTGCAGTGAATTATCCTCTCCACGGAAAATGACACACTTGGAAATGCACTTGGGCCACCTATCTCATTTATATGGTGTCACTTCATGATTTATGTCTACCATAGCTCACCTTGTCAGAGTAGGCTTTTCCTATGCCATATACAAAGCTTTATTTTCAGAACTCTGATCCTGAGTCAAGGTAGCAATCAATACTCCTGTCACAATAATGTTCTTAACACTAACATTTAAAAAATGCATTCCTCTCACCTAAGCAAATAATCCTTGAAGTGAAATGAAGAGATTTTAAGTTTCAAAATGAAAGCTAGCATTGACTCGGACGGTGTGGCTGAGAAGTCTGATGTAGGCCTTTGGTTTTCCCCTACTGAATTGCCATCCATACATAAAAAACATGGTGAGCAGGACAGATGACTGGATTCTAAGTTAGATATAAATGTGTGAGATGGTTTCTCAGGTGCACACATAGCTGTTGCATACACTGACATATTTCAATTGCAAAATATCTGCTTCCTGAAGTCAACATAGCTATCAGTTTGCTTTACTTCCTGATTCCCAATGGCTCTTATAAAAAAGGAAGGAGTAAGAGCTGACAGATGAGGAAAAAGACTTAAAATCTGCTGTGGATGGTCCAAACACAAGTAATTAAAATTTAATACTCTACTGGGATCTGGAATATAAATCTCTGTCTTTTAAAACATGATTATCTGTTCCACAGTAAGATGTCTAGATTGTAAAAAAAATCTTATCAGAATGCACATTTTAGGGGACGCAAAAGCAGAACAATTTGAAAGATTTACCAAAGTATTTCTTCTTCAGTCATGTAACAGAGAATGCAGTTTAACTTAGCACTTACTCCTCTCTCTCTTTCTCTCTCTCTCTTTCTCTCTCTCTCTCTCATTTCTGTGTATGAATGCATACACATGTGTATTCTATTTTCTTAATTTCATAGATGAAGCTAACACATCCACCTGACCTTTGTGTGTGATTAATGATCATTTTGTTCTAGCTCCCTGAAATTCAGTCCTTATTTCAAAGTAAAAAGAAAGTCTACGACTCATGTTGAACATCCTGATGTTTTAAGGTTTGACTCAGAGGGGATTGTAGTCTAATGAACTAGTGATGTGAACAGCAAATTCTTGAAGAAGCAGGATTTCAGTGGGATGCTCCAGTGGCTTCCATTGTTACTGGGCACACAGGCCATGGCAGCTTCTTAGGCACAGGAAGGAGAGACCCTCCTGAAAGCCTTTTTCTCATCTCTCCTCCACCCTGATCTCTTTGAAATTAAGAGTCCTAAGATTTTCAAGAGTGATGTCACCAATATAGGAATGTGCCATTTACTCATGGAAAGAAACAGCAATTTCAACAAAAAGCCTCCAGGAGCTAAGGAATCAAATTAAAAGATTGCAACACAGAAATAGGAAGAAAAATCTCTCAGTAGCAGGAAGGGCAGTTTCATGCTGCCCAAGTCAATTATTCCTTAAATCCAGGCAGCAAAGCTTAGAGAGAGATTCTCTGCTTCAGGAAGAAGAGTGACGTATACCCCAACAACACTCCTATGCTCACACCTGAGCAGGCAAATTTTTATATGTGGTCAATGTTAAGATGTTATCAGTTTAAACTAGCAGATTATAAATTTAAGATGCCTATGTATGCTGCAGAGTAACTGCAAAGAAAAAGGCTTAATGGGTAAAGGATAAAGAAAAATTTAAAACAAGACTTAAAAATCATCAAATCATAAATTAAACATACTGTGTGAGGAAGGCCTTATACAATAGTCAGAGAAAAATTCATATTTACACCATTCCTCAACACAAATTACTCTATATCTTCCAGTGAAAAATCATATAAAGCTCAATGAGCAAAAGAAAGCCAAGATCCAACCATAAGTCATCTATTCATCAGAGACTACCATTGGACATAAGCACACATAGGCTGAAAACCGCTAGAATGTTGTCTATACAAATGCTAACCAAAAGAAACAAATGGCTAAACTTGTATCAGAATAGAATTCTAGTTTAAAACAGTCATAAGAAACAAAAGCCAGTATAAGGTTATAAAGGGATCCTTTTGTCAAGATGGTATAACTGTAAATATATGAACTCTCAACATGGTGCCTAAATATAAGAAGCAAGCACTAACAGCACTGGAGATCAAGGGAGAGAGCAACAGTCTTCCTTCATATTGATCCAGGAGCTCAGTGGGCACAAATTCCTCAGACGCTCAAGTCACATATATGAAAGGACATGGTATTTTATATTATTTCCACACCTCGTCCCCTAGTACATTTCTATTGCTGAATTTAATTTAAAGCTATGAAAATCATTGTCATACTGAGCTGTTTCACTTAATGTCTAATGTTTCAAGAAAAATGTCTACATAAGTTTTGCTCAAACACGACTTTTTCAAATGTTTTTGATCAATATTTGTTGAATCCATGGATGTGAAACTTGTGTAAGTAAAAGACTGTGTAAGACAGTAGGGAGTTCAGACCTTTCAAGAATGAATAGATCATCGCATGAGAGTTAAGAAACCTACAGACTTGACTGTCACTTTAGATCCAAGAAATGTATAACAGAAATTACAAATTAACAATAGGCGAAAAATATAAAAATTCACAAATATTCTTAAGCAATGAACAGACATTTGAATGGAAATACTATTTTAAGACTAAAAAAATGGAAACACAAGTTGTCAAACTCTCGAAATGCGTAATAAATAGCGCTAAGAAAAAGTCACAAACACCTACATTATGGCTCAAAAAGATGGCATTGAAGAGGTGATTCAGTGGTTAAGAAAACTTGCAGCTCCAGCAGAGGACCTGCCTGTGTATGGGGTTGGCAACTCCAGTTCCAGGCTATCCAATGCCCTAGTCTGGCCTCCAACGTCATTGAATGAATATGGGGCATTTACATATATGCAGGCAAAACATTCACACATGTTATCTTAAAGACAAAAAAGAAACATTTCAAATAAACAACTTTACATCAGAAAAAAGTAGGAAATGAAGAACAAGCTGAGTCAATGCCATCAGAAGGAAGAATCCCCACTAAAGATCAGAGGAGAGATGCATTAAATAGAGACAGTAAAATAGAAATAATCAATAGATTATCAATTATATATATATTTATAATTTATCATTTACGTGTACAAATGTACTTTCTGCAGGTGTGTAAGTGTGCCTGTGTTGTGCAATGCCCACAGATGTCAGAAGAGTATGTCAGATTTGCCTGGAACTGGAGCTATGGATAGTTGTTAGCTGCCATGTTGGTGCTGGGATTTGAACACAGGTCCCCTGCAAGAGCAGTCAGTGCCCTTAACTGCTGAGTCATCTCTCCAGCTCCAGATGAGCTATTTCTATTACAAGATAAATGATATTGATAATACTTTGGCTGGACTAGGAAAAACCAGGGACAACTAAACTATTTAGAACTATAAATGAACAAAGATTTGAATGGCAAATAGAGTCCAGAGAATAAAAATAGAGCACAATGCACAATTATACGAAAAATTCAATAACCAATTTTTTAGAGGAAGAAACTGGCAAATTCCTAGAACTATACAACTTATCAATAACAGCAAATAGAGCATTAATAAGTGGGGAGATTGGATCAACAATCAAAACCTCCAATGAAGGAAGGTTAGGAACAGATGGCTTCACCGGCTAAATCAATCTAATATTCAAATAATTTACAAAAATTCTCCTCAAAATTCCCCAAACATTTGACAAGGAAGCAATAATCCTAGCTTATTTTACGACCAGCTTTCCCTGATCCCAAAACTGACAACGATATTAAAGAAAATAAAATTACAGGCTAAAATCTTTCATGAATATAGGTTCTTAACACCCAACAAAATAGTAATAATTTTAAATCACCAGTATACTGAAATGTGCACACACCATGAACAATGGTATTTACTTATGAGGCAAAAGCATAACAGACATTTTTTAAAAATCAGTGATTATTTTATAGCATTTTGTGCTGGTCTGAATGAAAAATGTTCCCCATAAGCTCAGGTATTCGAGTACTTAGCCCCAGTTGGTAGTTCTGTTTGTGGGGCAGGAGTGGGGAGATTAGGAGATATGGCCTTGCTGGAGGAAGTATGTCCTGGGGGAATACAGAGATCATAGCCTTGTCCCACTTCTAGTTTGCTCTCTGTACTTTCTTGTTTGTGATTGCAAATGTGAACACTCATCTCCTGCCCCCCTCCTGCCATGTCTCTTCTGCCATTATGGACTCTTATCCCTCAGGAGGAACCACACCCAAATAAACTCATTCTTCCATAGGATACTTTTGGTGATGATGTTCTATCAGAGCAACAAAATGATAATTAATAAACACATTAACAGAATAAAATGATCTTATTATGATCATGGGATCACCACAAAATTCAGCTTCCAATAGTTATTAAAATGCTCAAAAAGAGGCCAGAGAAATGGTCTGCATGCCACTAAATCTCACAACCTAAGCTTAATCACTGGAATCCACTTGACAGAAAGAATAGATCCCTAAAAGTTCCCCTATGACCTCCAGAAACATCCCGTTGCCTGTGTTTGTTTGAAAATATATTCACACACACATACACACAAACACAAAATGAACAAATAAAAAAACAACATTTAAATGTAGGGCAAAGTGCCTCAGTGCATAAAAGTTTTTGCTGTGTAGGCTGAGAATCAGAGTTCCATCCCCACAGTGGAAAGATAAAAATAACTCCAGAAAGCATGTGGCATTCATGCACACACACCCCCATACACACACATCATACACACACACAATATTGACAAATAAAATACAGTTTTAAGAAATGTTCAATTAATAGGTATGTAATAGAAACTATGTGTGAGAAGCTAGATTTTCCCAATGGTAAGACCAGAAAGCTTTTGTTCTCAGATTAAAAACAAGACAAGGATGTCCATTCTTACCTGTACTACTTAAGAAGCTACTTGAAATTGTAGTCTGAAGAATAAAGCAAGATAAGGCCTGAAAATTTGAAGAAAAAAAAAAATGGTCTGTTTGCAGAAGAAGTTTTATATGCAGAAAGCTGTAGACTTGTGACCAGAGGGATACTTGTTCCTCTGAGGGGCAGAGCCTGCTCTAGAGAATTGGCTGCAGACAGCAAAAGAGAGGGAGCTGAGGAAAGTTAGTGGCAGAGGGAGGAGCATGGGCTCTATCTGGGAAGTAGGTGGCATGGAATAAAATGGCCCGGTGTCTCTCCCACGTGCTGGTGAGAGGAGGCATTTACCAGCGGGGGGCGAGTCCGTGGGCCCATGAAGCACGGGCAAAAGCTAATGGAGACTGTGGGCAGGGCATGGAAGCAATCTGGAACCCTGGGCCGCTGAGCCACAGAGCAGAACAGGGCACAGGTGTTCACCTTTGTACATTACGCTATTTCCCTTACCCAGGATATAAACCATGAAAAATTCAGATATAGATGTGTTATATGTTTTGTCTAATAGCACCAGGAGCAAGGGACCCTGAGAGAACTTGGGGGACAAATTGGCACAGTCAGCAGGATGGTGGTGCTAAGAATAACAAACCACAGGTATCTGGAAAAAGCTAGGGAGCTAATGGAGGTGCTGATATGGCTCTTACAATGGATTATAAAACATATAAATAAAAAGGAGCCAGCCATGCAGAAGTGTGGGACACATCTATATTTTAAATGTGGGGAAATAGCCCAGTTGTGGGTATATGAAGATTTGTTAAATGTTATAGAAAGGCTAGAAAAACTTTTACAGGTCTTGAACACAAGTAGAGAACCTAGAGAGGAGGAGTGGCCACTTTGCATAATAAAAGGTTTGTACAAGGCAGGGGAGCTAAAAGGGCCAGGAAGGAAATGGAGGATTTGGTTACAGAACTTTAGAGAGACAAAA